TTTATTCGATCCTGGTCGTGATCAAACCAGCTAACTTCAGACAGTTTGCTTGGAAGAAGACGGAAAAGTAATACGCTTCTTTTTTCATTTTTGTTGATAGTAAAATGTAAATCCGTGATGATTTATCAAATTTCGAAATTATGCTTGGAACAATGTATAATGGAAATACGATTCGTCCAGAATTATCTTCATATTTATTGAGTTTTAAAAGATGTTTGATATTCAAGAAGTTTCACAGCCCTTTGGTACCATACACTTTCGCCATCGGGTAACGCTTAACTTTCGTCACATGACGAAAGTTCTGTTTTCAGTGACAAAAATTCTCTCGACATGTGACGAAAGTTTAACTATGATTACACGATGGTTACGAAAGTTAACCAGTTATGTGACGAAAGTTCGTTTTCGGTTGTGACAAAAGCGTCTGGTTTTTTAGACAGGTCACCAGTTTCGTCACACGTTGCATGAAACGGCTGCGATGAAATCAAGGTGGTAGCGCAAAGTTCATTAGTCCAAACTGCAGTAATGAAAACTGTAGTAATAACTTCTGGCTTTTTTCTTTACGAGCGAAGCATTTTCTTAGCGCGTAAACGTGTAAAACACCCTTTTGAAGTCTTTTCTAAAATCAAAATCAAGCGTCTATTGCGTTTGGAAGTAGTTCGGTCTGGAGTAGTCCATACTACAGCAGTCCAAATTGGAGTAGTCCAGATGCAAGCAGTTCTATGTTATTAGTGTGACGAAAGTTCGCGATGGGGTGTGACGATAGTTGTAACACAGTTGGTTACGAAAGTTCACCACTCTTGTGACCAAAGTATGGGGTGATACTCCTCCAAAAATGACATACACTTTCGTCATGTATGACGAAAGTTCTTTTTTCTATGTGACAAAAACTACCTTGACAAAAGTGCTATCATCCTTCAAGAATCTGCTTATTAGAATTAGGTTAATTACGACAAATATACAAAGTTTTATGTGTTTCTCATGATATTTTCTCGCCTTTCTAGTAGACATTATCAAAGAATAGATGAACAATTATGGATCGATGATTATGAAATTACCCTGCCTCACGCCGATGTGGAAGAACAGAAATGATTATTGACATCCAGAACGTCAACGAAAAGGTAAATAAATGGAAGCTCCCAGCAAGATTAAGAATTTTATGTTGGTGATTCGACAAAACAAAAGTGAGTAACTTAATTTGTACACTATATAAAAACATATCGAGCATACACTTTGGCGGGAAAGCCTCATTAAGCCACGTTCATAAGGACATCTCATGAAAGCGCTGATGTAGTTTAAACTGGTTCACCAACAGATTTACAAGGTATAAACTGGATACTACTTCTACAAATTTTCTTTTTCACATTTTAATGTTAGTCTAATTTCTTAATAGGAAACGGTAAAGCAAGGCGGCTGTGACGTGAAAATGAATCTTTTTTCTAAGTTTAAGCAACAGAGGACACACGTATTCGGACTAGGGGGTGGACCGTTACTGTAACGATAACGAGTTTGCGTTACAGTTACTGGTAAAGGATAACGATTCAAGTGTTACCGTTACAGATAATGGGTCACAGTTTGACTGTATTTGACATCAAACACTGATGCGCTTTCTGTCCTGGAATAATAGACTCAATCGCTTATTTGGCTAGTGAAGAGTGGCTTCTTCTCTAACGTCAACTGAGCTGTAAAGTTTAACAAACTCTTCTGTTTGTACAAGTCCCTGACGGTGCTAAGACATAGTCAGACAAAAAAGGCAATTCTAAATTTGAAAAGTAACCTCCCATCGTTTGTTATTAGGGAAAGAGCCGGGGTATGGCACTGGCATCAATGATCACTAACAATCAACACTTAGTTGTAACCGATTGAGAATTTTCAACCGAATTGGTATCACGTTTTATAGTGAAGGTACCCTGAGTAAAAATCAACAAAAAAATTATTTTTTTCCGTAATCTTCCTTCTTCACTTCACGTAGTCTGAATACTATTTAACAATATTAAGACAGCTGAGCACTTTTATTAATGAAAATGACTGGCAAGTGGAGATTCCCTACCTAACCTTGCATATCACCGACAAAAAATTAAAGTTCATTTAGAGTTAAAGAAAAGTGCTTTTTCGTATTCAGCACACTTGATAACCAGGAAAGTTTTCTATTTTTAGCGAGGAGTACCGCCAAAAAGTTAAGAAAAATTTTCAAAATTGTATAATTTTACCATGGAGATTTTTCTGCGTCAATTTATTTGAAAATTTTTCTTAACTTTTTGGCGGTACCCTTCGTTAAAAGTAGAAAATCTTCCAGGTTATCAAATGTGCTGAATACGAAAAAGCACTCTCCTTTAACTCTAAACAAACTTTAATTTTTTTTTATCGGTGATATGTGCTGTTTTCAAATGGCGTCCAAACTTCGATTAACGGCACAAGATATATCTGCTGTATATTCACTGTTGTATCAATCATTTGCGTCATATTTTTTTTTGTGACATCTTGCTTTTATTTTATGTTTAATTCTTTCCGTCATACCTCTTAGGTCTATTTCATTTTACCGCGAAAATAGAAGGAAGAGATTTGATATAATCGGTAAGAAAACAGAGAACATGTGCGAGAAGATATGAGTAATGTAATAATAATAATACTATAGTATCATCGGCAAACGAACAAATATATTGATCTCGTTTCTCTAGAATCTTACTGGTCTTTAATGCACGAATGGGAGTGCAAAAAGAGAACAGAGACAAAGGAATCCGATAATGTCCATATAATATTATAAGATGCTGAGATGATTCCATTTGTTTATCTTTATGAACAGAAGTGATCAGGAACATTCTCTAACCGTCATCCATAGCTTGTTTTTTCTTCCATTTTCGAATTTTGCTGTTGGCGAGAAAAATATCCTTCAACATATTGTATTATCATACGTCCTTGACATCTTAACCATTTCCAGAGTTCGCTAGACAACTTAGTACTAATTTGAAGATTGTTTTATAGCTGAACTAGGTACATAAATAACAGACATACTGTCACTCTCCTCTTATCTTTCTGTTTCAAGTATAAAATAGATCAACGGTCTTGTTATTGGTATATGCTGTTAGATATTACTTCTCACTCTTGTGCTATCCAATAGCATTATTTTAGGATCTTATGATTTTCACTTGTGTTTTAAAAGACTAAAGCTAATATCGGATTAATTCGTGAGATTTTCATGAAGGCATTATCAATACTTCTGAAATATTCCAGTATTCAGATTATTCTTTATTTTTGTGTAAATGGGTTGCTTCTCTTGCTTCTTTACACTACCGGGGAGCAGGATTGCGAATAGTGAGAAGGTGCAACTTTCCTCAAATAATTGAAAACGTTGTTGCTTTTGTTTGTCATTATACCGATATCACTAAAGCTTCTGTTTATCAGATGTTATAAGTTACTAAACGTTTACTTTCTTTTGTGATGTCCTTGCTTATGCAAAATAAATTTGAACTTGAACTTGCTTTTCCATTCTGCCTCGTATGACTTTCTTTTTACCGATTTCACACTACCGCTACGAGAAATGCTGTTTTACATCCCTCCCTAATGTAATGTTCAACTCCTATTTGCTAGTCCTGTACGTGTAAAGCTTAGAAGTCAGTCTCCTATTGTAAAGAATGGATAGTCATAGCACGAACATCATCTTGGTTATAAGAAACACAGTGATTTTAGTAGTGTTGTGTCTGTAAGCATAGTTTTGTAATAACAGAGGAGCAATCAGTTCCTAAAAAAATGACCGGATGAGAGAAACCTTTTTATAAAAAAACTTGAAATTATGAAGTTATAACAAACTTCATTTCCATTCAAAAGCACTTTTTGTGTTAGAAGTGTTAGAAATCTGTCACATAAGCTGAAATTATGAGAAAGATATAAAAATAGCTCTAACAGTCCCAAAAGGACAATGACATGTACTCAGCTTCTAATCTTGGTGGTAACAGCTTGCGGCTCCTTCTTTTTTTTTTCACAGGTAAAAGAAAGAGAATAACGTTTTATTCTGTTGTATATAGTTTTTAATATTACTATAGGTCTCATAAAAAGGTTTATTTTCGATATGCTGTTATGCTTATTGTTATTATTTGTTTCGTTTTGATGTCTAGAGTGTTATTTATAATAGTTGTTTTTGACTTATGCTGATTTCTTTTTACAACGATACTATTGTTCCCGTAGTATGTCACTTCATTCATACGTCTCAATCAGAAATATTTGTAATCTCTAACAAAAAAATCTTAAGTATCGAATAGAATTTAAGAGAAGGATATTAGACTTTCTCTATTGTCTGACCGGAAATTACTGACACAAGCATTTTTCATCTCATGTCAAGTTTTTATTATTTCGTATCGTTGATGTCGATCACATGTTGAAGTTGTAGCTGGGGAGTGTCATGAAATTCAGATTTTTAAAATCCGAATGTTTTTAGGTCAGGAAAGACTTTTTATCCTGAAATCCTACTCGCTCGTGCAACTCCACCCGGATGTAATTTCATCCGGATTTAGAAGTCCGAAAAATTTCCGAATGAATGTCCCCCGTCCAACTCTGGTAAAAAATATTCTAAATGAGTTTTTCACTTGTTATAAAAAGCAATGCAAGTCCGATTCTTAATCAGTTGTATATTAGTCCTCCAAATGTACTTTAATAATGAAACTACTAGTATTACTATTATACTCTATGACATGCGGACTTGCATTGCTTTTTATTATAAGTGACAAACTCATCTAGAATTTTTTCCCAGACTTGAGAGGTTTTTTAAGAAGCTATCGAGGAACTTCATCCAAAAATAAGTCATCCAGATTCCAACATGTTCGGCAAATGATTCATCCGGACATGTTGGATTCTTGATGAATAGTTTTCGGATGAATTAAAAAAAGGATTTTAATAATCCAGAATTCATGACACTTCCTCGTTGTAGCCAAACTTTTTTCTTCGTAAAACTAAGTTTTGAGTCTTCTGTCAACTGTATCTTTCTCTTTATTATTTACTATTTATTAGAAATGTCAACTAGAGTTGCCTTAATAACCGGAGCTAATAGTGGCGTTGGTGCTGAAACTGCACGTCAGCTAGGTCTACAAAATATTGAAATATTAGTTGGTTCTCGTGATAAATCGCGTGGTGAAGAAGCTGTAAAAAAACTAATTGTGGAAGGGATCAAAGCTCGGTGTATTCAGCTTGATGTGACAGATCAAAAATCGATTGACAATGCTGTGGATGAAGTAACCAATAGTTACGGGAAATTAGATATATTAATAAATAATGCTGGTGTATACATGAAAGAAGGACCTTTGAGTCAGTTGGATATGGCATTGTTACGTCAGACATTTGAAACAAATTTTTTTGGTGTATTTGCTGTAACCAAAGCATTTTTACCATTAATTAAAAAATCATTAAGTGGACGAATTGTTAATGTTTCAAGTGGTTTAGCATCATATAATTTTCATCAGAACAAGGCTAATGCATCCTATGCTATTAATCATTGTGCTTATAGTACATCAAAAATAGCTTTAAACATGTTGACAGTACAGTTAGCTAAGGAATTAGAGAAAACAAACATTAAAGTCAACGTTTGTACACCCGGTCTGACAGCAACAGGTCTGACAAATTATCATGGACATAGTGTTGAACTTGGTGCAAAAAGTTCTGTTTATCTGGCTTTACTTCCGGATGATGGACCAACAGGACAATTTTTAAACAGTGATCTTACCGTACATGAGTGGTGATGGAAATAAAGATCCATTTATTTGTCTTTTTATCTTAAATCTATATTTTTCGTCTACATGAATGACTTCATTCCAGTTTGTGTTTATTATTGGTAGTTGCTTGTGTTTTCTAATTTTTGTTTGTGATAGTCTGTTTTTTTGATGGTGTAAACGAAAATTATTTTTTGAAAACGTATATTTGTTGTACTATTGGTCAGATCTTTCTATAGCTTTAGTGTTGAATATTATCTAAATAAAGTCAAATCTCATCTGAAAACTCTTAGAAATATTTCTCACCTATCACTGTACCTGAGTCAATATTGCCGCTTTCACACAAAGTTCAACGCTTATTTGTTTGCAACGGACCGTGGAGTATGTCAAATTCATAGTAACTTTTTCTTTTGTTTCTAGATTACAAAAATAGTATTACACACTGATTACCCAAAAGATGACTCAGAGAATAGCAGTTGTAAGTATTCACTATTACTCACCTTAATATTTTTTTGGCTAACGTTGTATTTTTCTTTTTAGGTAACTGGGGCAAATAAAGGTATGTTTGTCAATAGAAAAGCGTTATGTTGTGCTATCTTTCAGCTTTTCTCCTCGTTAGGCATTGGATATGCAATTGTTCAAAAACTTTCTACAGAATTTGATGGTATTGTTTATTTAACGTCAAGAAATGAAGAATTAGGTTTAAAAGCTGTCGAAGATATTCAATCATCAAATCCATCAGCGAAAGGCAAAGTGCATTATCATCAGTTAGATATATCATCTGTCGAGAGTATACGCCGATTAGCCGATTATCTAAAAAAGACATATGGGGGATTTGATGTGCTAGTGAATAATGCAGCAATAGCGTTTAAAGTATATACACACCAACGAATAAGATTTCTTCTCTGCTAGTCAAAACGTTATTATGATGTTTTAGAGTGCTGATGTAACACCCTTCGGCGAACAGGCAGAAGTAACGGGACGAAGCAACTTTTTTGGCACAATGAATGTATGCAATGCTCTATTTCCACTACTTCGACAACATGCTCGGTTTGTAACGTTGATCTGCATTTTATTGAAAAATATTCTATTTTTATTACCATCATTTTCGTATAGAGTTGTCAATATGTCCAGCCGAGCTGGAATGTTAGAATCAATTAAAAATCCAGAAATTCGTAAGAATTTGACATCTGACGATACAACAATCGAATCTATTGGAGATATTCTAAGTGATTTCATTACGTGAGTACAAAAACACCAAAATTCTCTTATGATAGTGATCATATCACAGATCAGCGCGTTACCTTGTTAGTACATTCAAAATGTACTATTAATTTAGGGTTGTTCCCGTCTTATATGTAAGCATCATCTTAGCATATTTTTTTTTGTTTAGAAAAGCTAAACAAAACTCTCATCAAGACGCCGGATATCCAAACAGCGTCTATGGAATGTCAAAACTCTGTCTGATAGCAGCCACAATTGTTCAACAACGAATTTTTGATGATAATCCTGAAAAGGATATTGTTGTGAATGCTGTAAGTATCGTATTGTTGTATGTGTTTCTGAATCTTTATTTTATATATGTACGCTGGGAGCGTTTGTATTAAAGAAACACTTTCGCTCGAATATACATCTTCAAAATAATCTAAATGACAAGATAATCATTTCAATTTTATGTTTTTCTTTTCTAGGTATGTCCGGGATATTGCAAAACCGACATGACAAATAATAAAGGACAATTAACACCGAAACAAGGTACATCGTACTGTGTTATTTTCTAAAACACATGTGTATATGATTGTTTCTTCATTTAGGTGCGGATACACCCGTTTATTTGGCAACCTTAGAACCAAATGTGAAATCTCCCCGTGGTGAATTTCTGGGTGAACGAAGAATTATTAAATGGAAATGTTAATGATTTAGAGCAGATATTTGTGCTTGATACGTGTATTTAATAATCTCGTGTTTTTTCAATCATATTTTATGCAAAAGAATATTCTTTCACGTGTGTTCGAAGGTTCTTTTTTTATTTTTTTATGCGAGCTACTTTTGTTTGTATTCCTTTCAAAGCCTTCTTTTGTCACAATACAAAACATAAATACGTGAGTTTACTGTTAGTTTTTTCATAATCGAAGTTTTCGTATAATATGATTATCAGCATTTCGATATAAGTTTGGAAGGGAGCCGGGGGAAGTCTGATGAGTAACTAGATTTTGCTTGTTTTGAGTAACTGTATGGTTTAAGTTAATTGAAGACTGAATATAAGCTTGTTATTATCCTCTGTTTTATTTCTTCCTCATATTTTTTTCAAAACAAAAGATTTATCAACAATATGAAGAAAACGCTAGAAAAAAGATGAATGACTCAAAAGCTAAAAAGATCAATTACTCCGCCACATATAAAAAGGCAGTTTCTCAATTTAAATTTCTTAAAACATTTCTAGATTTTTTTCGAAAACTAACTAATAACTATCCAAACGAGGAACCTCCTGATCGAAAACGTTGATGATTATTCAGATAACTTTTAATAGGAATCATTCATGTGGATAGAAGAAAGTCTTATGGACATACGGGGGAACAAGAAGTATTTTTACTATCGACTACATAGAAAACTATTGTATTCTTCTATGTTACGACTTTTCTTTCACGTTTTAGATAAACAAACGAGAACTGCTTGCTTTAGAAAAATTCTTTTTGTTTTTCGATTTTGGTATCGTAATGGTAGGTTGGAAGCTATTTTTAGTATCAAAATTAAATTCATCTAAATTCGTTTAATGAATATACAACATGGAATTGGGAATACTTTGTTAATGACAGCTGCATCTTCTACCATAAATGGTGTTCTTCAATCAAATCCCTCAGCTAGTCAAGGATTAATACTTAATCAAATGCTAAGTCAATTACCGCAAGTTCATACAATCAACATTAATGGTCAACAAGCTTTATTTATTCCTACTCCAAATGCTACTCAACTAACTCAATTCATCGGTTTACAACAAGCTGTGGCGGCCGCAGCTGCCTCGGTTAACTCAGCAACAAATTCTTTAAATATTCCACGAACAGTCACTCTTCCATCTCAATTAATACCCACAGCAGGAACTACGACTACCACTCCATCAGCCTCGATTCAAATCCCGTTGAATACTCGAACATTTTCGAGTCAGACATCGACTAATCCCTTCATTCAATTGAACACTACATCAGGAAATATCGAGAATCGCACTGTTCAATTAAATGCTCATTCACAAACGCCCACACTTCAACTTCATTGTCAACCGTCAACAAATGGATCACTTTCCTTTTCATTTACAAATAATGCACCTGTTCAACAACAACAACAACAACAACTATCACCTAATGTCAACGTAATTGTACTGAATGGTACAAATGCGATTACTCAACCAGTTACTGCTGCCACAAATTTATTCAATTCTGAAATACAAGATTTTCAGCAAATGACAACAGCCGCTCAATTACAATTTCCTGTTAATCAATTAGCCACTCAACTATTACAAGCATTACTTGGAGGAGGTGGGAATACGCAAATAAATTCTCCACAACAACAGCAAACAACTACCAATACATTGCTTTCTTCTGCACCATCTATGATTCCACAACAGCAAACGATATGTGAAAACACAAATTATGATACAAAAAATAAATGTGAAGAGGATGAATCAGTAATCAATACAAAAAGTATTAATAGTAAGTACTAAGTAGACAAGAATATTTTTCCATATCTATTTTTCTAGAACTACTTCTTGGAGCAGCTAAAAAATGGCTTACTCTTGGTGCTAATAACATCAACAACAATCAACGAGATTTAACAACATTTAATGAAACCACCGATCGAGTACTAAAACGTTCAAGAAAATCGTGTGAATGTCCAAATTGTATATTGTAAGACCAATCTTTCAACAAACTATAATTTATTCAAGAAAATTTGGTTTCTTTTCGCTTTAGTTTTAAAAGTAATGTACATAATACAATTCCAATAACAACTAGCCTAAGACGAACACATCGTTGTCATTATCCTGATTGTGGAAAAGAATATTTAAAAACATCGCATTTACGAGCACATTTAAGGTACACGAATACATAGCCCAACTCTTAAAATATGTCCAGTTTACTCAGAGGGGAAACAGCAGAATTCCAAGCAGCTGTGGACTCCCAGACCTACAGAAGCCTGGAGAATCCTATACAAACTTCCCAAAGTTCGAGAAACTGGAGGAATCTCTGGGAGTACAAGAAAAAATTGAAAAAAGGGATTAGAATCCGGTGAAATCCCGAAAATCTGTAAAAATGATTGAAAATGGGGCTAAGCGGAAAAAACGCGGGAAAATTCAAAAACAGTCAGGAAAATTCTTCAGACCCAGCGAAGTCACGAAGAATACCAAGGAGTCTCCAAGAGTACAACAAAATTTGAAAATAATTGATTGCCTGTGAAACGAAGCCCAGATTACATAAGTCATAAAATCTGCTGTTTCCCCCTTGAGTTTACTACGGTCACTTTTCTACGGCATAAACTCAAGTGCATTTCTACCCTTTATGAAATGAAAAAAAATAAGCAAAGCAACAATTTTCCTGCTAGTTGTTTTCCATGCTATAGAAGAATCTTGGCTACGTTACCACTTGCTAAGTCAAAAAGTCAATTTTAAGAAATAACTTTTTTCATTAGATATCGTTCGCTAATAAAATTATTGATTCTATTGGTATTTGCAGAGTCGATTACCATCAGAAAAATATATTTTAAAATTTTTTTTGAGAACATAAGAATAATCATGCAATCCATGTCTGTAAATTACAATCTTCTCTTGTGAGTGTTCTCATTTTTTAGTTTATTGTGAATAATCAAATCAAAAGTGCTATCAATATAAGAGTATCCCCAATTCGCTTTTTGATCGTTAATGCGAGATTAAATGAAAAAAGCTAGAGTTTGTCCAATACTCTATTGTAGTATATTTCAACATTTATAGAAAATTAAAATCTAAAATTACTCTAATCTCAAAACATCGACTTGTTTTGACTTAAATCGTATTATCGATTATTGATTTTAGATCTGACTTTCTGTTACTCTTTTCAGATCTCATATTGGCGAACGACCTTATGTTTGTAATTGGAATTTATGTGGTAAAAGTTTTACAAGAAGTGATGAGTTACTTCGACATAAACGAACGCATGCTGGTATGGTTATTAGATTATCTGATAACTTATTTTTTTTCTTTATTTGTATGTGAATGTTTTTAGGTGAAAAAAATTTCGAGTGTATTCAGTGCCACAAGCGTTTTTTACGAAGTGATCATCTACGAAAACATTCAAAAATTCATGGTGGTGATCTGTCTAATTTATCAACAAACATAAAAAATCAAAAGCAACAAAATCAAAATATAATTTACAGTAACAATATTTTATCATCACCACCAATAAAAGTTGAAAATTTTGATTTATTACTAGATTTTCCAGAAGATAAAACAACAACGACATTGACAGATCAAACATCATTTGAGTATTGTCCAAATAATATCATGAGTGGAAATATTCTATGTTCAAATTTTAATCAATCCGATTATTATCAATAATCAGATAACAACAATAAACATTTTTTCATAACAATAAGAAATAGAATCATATTTTGTTTTTGCATTTTGTACAACAATATAGGCAGATATTTTTGTAATAATACAGTGACTCCTCTTTGTCAGTATTAACAACAGTATCGATATTACATCTATTTTTTTTTGTTGAAAAAAATTTTGCCGTCTGCTCATTTGAACAGAAATCTCACATTTTTTTTTATACAATCATTTTTATCTAGATGAAATAGTATTATTTTATTAAAAATCTTTTTCTTAAAAAAAGAGAAAAATTTGCTGGTAGTATGATCTTGTTAGTCCATGTTTTCATATATGGAAAAAAATTGAATCTTCTTTATTTCTTTTAAAAATTCTTTTTTTCGACTTTAGTTTTACATAATTTGTATTGCAGTAATTTTTCGTTACATAGTTAACATTCACATCCTGTATCAGTCAGTTTTATACTTTTCTTGTTCTTATATATCATCTTTGTCTGCTATTTTCTTAATGTCACTTTGTTGAATATATTTGTTTTTTTTTTCATCTTGATAATTTTTAACAACTAAATATTTTTGTAATTATTTTATTGTTATTTTTTAATATATCATTCATTCATCTATTAGACGACTTATTCACTTGTTTTGAACTGATAATTAGAAATAAATTATCAAAATGACAAATATGTTGTTGATGTTTTCATGGAATATAAAAGAATCTAAAAGTTTCAGTATGACTATATTATTAATTTCTCTCTTGAATAATATGACGAATTGACAATGGGATACTGAATTTGACTTTCAGAAGTCGTGGTTATATGATAATTTCGTATATTTTATCGTTAAGACGTCATTTCATAATTAATTGATTTAACAGACAGTTAAGAATAAATAAATTTCTTAGTATTTTTTTATTTAACTTTTTGAACAACTTACCTCTTGGCCTTGATGCGTTCGTTACAGGTTTTATCACAAAATGTAAAAATGAATAGTTACACAAAATTGAACTTAGAGTTTCAACATAGTCAATTTTTCAATTAAAAAAAACAACTTTTTCGTTATCATTACTATGTCTGTTGACATATTAGAAAATCCAGAGGGCACTTTTGTAGCCCATTGAACAATTCTATTTTCTATCTAAAATTCGTTATATTATTGGAGTTAACTACATATTTTACCGGTATTGTAAAAAAATCAACATTCTTGGACAGTAGTTCTGTATCATGACGTATGTTTCTGATGACTCAAATATTTTGAGTCTGAGATATTTTCAAGAGAAGTAACATGTTTGTTATATTTAAATGTAAAAAGTTCAACAATTTTCTTTCTACGGATATATCAAGAAAAACACAGAAATCTTTCGCTATTTTCTAGAGGATTTTAATAAAATCACTCTTTGTGTCGTGAAACGTTCATGCATAATAGTAGACCACATTAAAAGACTTTAGAGGTTTTTTTCTCATGTATCTTAATGCTTTTATCTCAATTATCTCTATTGAAATGGATGTTTATAAGCTATAAAATTGTCTAAAAGCATCTAAAAACCACACACACCATATTCCATTACGGGTATCTAAATAAGTAGAGCGCAACCAATAGATTAAGAAACCATAGACGAGAATTCTTTACGATAGATGAGAGAGTGTAAATTTCATAACACTGTTCATTTATTATACGCATTTTCTATACGAAAACACGTTAATTTTGACTGGTTTTTAGAAAATAGTTTTTGGAGTAATTTCATAGTTTAAAAATATTCTATTGTAATCTGCTAGAAAGTTGACCATTTTGAGACTTTTTGTTCGAAAATGTTGTAAGAGGCTCATTTATTTTCAAGTGTCCGTTACATCGGTATTGCATTAAAATCCAATGTTTTTATTTTTATTTTACGTTTTAATAGAGAGTTGTTCTATTTGACATTCAATGTATTTAATATGCAGAACATGTTTTCACTTCAATTATTAGGTCGATCATTTGAATGTAAACTATTTTTATAATCTTCTAGAATCTATTTTTTTAGAATCTATATTTTTTATAATCTTCTTCTAGAATCTATAGAATAAAACTGTAAACTAGAGAAAAACTATCTATAGCGTATCTATAAACTGAGTAAAGTTGATTGAGTAAAATATTCTTACTTCGGATGGTCATGAGCTTTTAGCATATATAAGACACTTCTCTGATTAGTTGATGAATCGATACTTCTTGGAATCCAAAATAATAATTCTAATTTTATTGAGCATTATCAGAGGAATTGAATGTTCTTCATATTCAATTAGTAAAATAGTTCTGCTATTGTTTTTTCTTCTTCTACGAAAGAATGATAAAAAATAGTTCTAGTTCTATTAATTTATCAATCGGCAGAGTAAAAACAAAAAAAAAAAAACCTTCTATTTGTACGTGCTATAAATGTGTTGAAAACAACATATATATTTGACGACGAATATACATAAATTGAACTAAAAAATATCTCAAAAGTGTTCATCAATTCTTGATTTAAATAAAAAAATAAAATAAAATAATGACAACATTTGCTAATACTTATTATACAATGAGTGAAGTATGGCGAACATTTTTAATTCTAATAGCCGCTATTATTTTAGCCATCGTCTTTCTTCTTATTATTACTCTTCTATCAACATTCGAAACAACATCGAATAATTCAAAACAACGAGTAGCTATATTACAACAACAAAAACAACCGTTACTTTTGATACCAATTGATGATGAAAAACAAAATAATAACAATTATCAAAATTATTGTAAAATAGATCGTACAAAAATAATAGCTTCATGTTCAGATACTAATACAGGTTATTATGATTCAATATTAGCGAGTCATGATTCAGCGTATTATATTGCACATGAAACATGTTTTCAATCAAATGTTAAAAATCTTTTACTTCTACAAAATTCAAAACATGTTCAATGTTGTACACTCGAAAATAAAGTCGATCATTTTATTTAATTTAAACAATCAATTGTATTCGTGTTCACTGTTTTTCTGCTTGTTAAGATAGAAACATTTGTGTAAATGTTTTATTATTGGAAGATAATGTTCACGAAGGATAATAAAAAGAATTTAATCTCAAGGATAAATGAAAAAGAATTTTTATTCTACTTCGAAAAAATCTGAGGCTTCGAATAATATTTGTTGTGTCTTCTATTAATTTTCATGAAAGAAATAAATGAATAGTATTTTAGATGTCTGATATTAAAGCTCGTATTGACGAGTATATACCTACAAAAGGTTTACTATATTTTGATGAAGAATTGAAATATGTTATTTCAAAACCAAAAATAATGCCATTGAAATCTATAACACTCGAGAAGGTTAGTGTTTGTACCGTTTTATCATCCAATAATAGAAAGAAAATTGATTTAAATTATCATTTTTTTTTCTTTTCTAGTTGGAGACGTTGCAAAATGATGCCGAAGAAAAATTGAAACAACAAGAAAAATTAGGTCAAGAATTTTCAACAACATTTTAAAAAAACGTTCTTCGTATCTTCAAATTAAATTCGTCCATGTTTTATAAATATTGTAATTATTAATAATAAAAAGTAGATGTTTTAAATGACGTATAATACGTAAATCTGAGACAAAAATGAAGAAACAAAATCTAAATAACTTTTATATTGTTGGGATAATATTCATGAATAGAACAAAGCAGAAGAATAAGCAGTAGAAATTTTATTGCAAATTATTTTAAGGAAAAACTATTACATAGATAAAACATATCACGTCTAAAGTTCAGTAAAAATATAATAAAGTGAAAATAGTATCATTTTATAGTATTCCTAGTGAACTTGGTACTTGATTACTTGGTAAGTACTTTAAAAAATTGGCTAATATTTTCAAAATCACTTATTTACCATGAACTTTTACAAATACTTCTTCAGGATTGTAATATTCGATTCTTTTACTACCAAGTACGTTATGGAAGCAATTGTAGTTTTAGTTGACAAGTATTTGTCAATTAATACAAGTACTTACAGATAAACTTACTTTTTGAAAAGTCGATATGAATACGAAGTTAGATGAGATTTTGTAAATTCTAAATTTGAACTATCAATCGAAACGTTTGAAATAAATAAAGTTAGTACGTAGAAAAAGTATTTATTTAGAATTTAAATAAACTTACTTCTGAAAAAAAAAGGTAAGTAAGGTGCACGGAAAGCAAACTGACAGTGAAATTTATTTTTGGCTTTATTATACATATTCTGATTCACCAGGTCATGCTGATCACGAATATCACCTTCCGACCTCGAAAAAATTGAATCTTGATGGAGAAAACCGCGAAATACTGAGATGAGGTCGAAAACGTTAAAATCCGTTCTTTTTCAGAAAAAGCTCCACAATTTTTTTCTCTTACGTTTTTATTTACTTTTTT